CTGTCGGTAGAGAGCACTGCGTGTTGCTTAAACACATAACTGCTTCGCCCTTGCAGGCAGAGCCATACCTCCTCCCAATCCCATCAGTTATTTATTTATTTATTTTACCCACGCCCTCCCTCCGGTTCTATGCCCTTTCTCACTACCTTTCCCCCTCCCCTTGTGGGCCCAGATTGCGCATATGTGCGCTGATCCCTTTAAATTCCCCAATCAAAGGCTTCTCTATGAACAATGCACGATGTTTAGTTAACTGGACTGTACTTCGACTACGGGAATGGGAACGAGCACTGGCATCGTTTGGGGGCTTCGGCCTTGAATACGTGCCCTATAACCCCGTTTTCTTCTGCTGACTCTGCTCTATACTCTCTTTGCCAATGTCTGGCTCCTGAGTGTTAGAATAAATCTCACTGAGGGGCCAGGCACAGGCAGAGAAAGGATAAAGTAGTGTGGATGTCGAGATCCGAGGTTCATATTTGCTGGGGCCTAGTGAGGATACAAATATATATATTAATGGTGCTTCTCGTATGAGAAAGAGCGTACTCTAAACCGCTCATCAGAGGCTGGGCAAATTGCAGGAGAGCAGGAGGGGATATATGACATTAATTTCCTAACTCCGCATCACCTCCTTCTGCACATAATAGAGAAGGGGACCCCAGTAAGGGCCATTTTGCAACTGTTTACTTCTTACCAGGGTACTATTGAGCTCCACAACTCTCTCAAAGCTGGCAGAACAGCATCCAACTCCTGCAGAGCTGCAAAAGCTGAATGACGATCCTGATGGTCATTCACTGATGAGAATGTCAGCTGAGCACTCTCAGCCAAATGAATGGGTGTCTGGGCAAGAAATATACACAGAATTGACATTAGCCGGTCTGGAACTCTTGTTCTGACCTGGCTTCTGATGATTTTGGAAGTGGAGTTACACCTCCGGCAACAACTTTATGTATCTCACTACTGAAGTGCTGCACATACAGGGTGCTTGCTTCCAAACACAGTTTTGGTTTTTGGTGCTTGGAGTCACCCTTAATATGTTCTTTGTGGCTGTTTCACAATTCACCTAGTGTGTGGAGCATGGTGGGAAGGGGGAGGACGGTGGTGGTCAAATTAGTGTTTTGTACCTACAAGCACCTAAATGCCAGCCTGAACGTAGCTCATTGCTCTTCTTCCCAGTGAAGCCTATTCAATAAAAGGGCATCATGTCATGTGACATTTTTCAAAGCTCCTTTTATCTATAGGTAGCGATTGACAAATAGCATGTAAACATATAGATCAGATAGAAGCTACTTACAGATAGATGTTATTTTTTAAAAGATCTGTTTCCGTCCTTGATCCTTGTGATATGGAGATATAACGTTGCTCTCTGTGCTTCTGATAAATACATTTGCAGAGTACATGTCTGTGTCGCGATGCATTGCAAATGAAATATTTTTACATAATAAGGTGCGTTAGAAAAAATGCTGACCCTGGAGTTAATTGGCCCGATAAACAAAAATGGAATTTCCTGTGGATGCAGAATTATTTGTCAGCTCTGGCCTTTTATGTCTCCATATGGACATTACTGGTCCCAAAGAGAATATATCATTACAGTATTAGCCAGAGAACGTTTAACATGAACTGAACTGTTAGAAGGCATTTAGAAATTACTATAATCACCATTTTCTTTTTCTATTAATATTTTAGTTCCTTAGCTGGAGCAAGGCAAAAAAAAAAAATCACTTTTCCCCCATCCAAATTTGCTAGAAATTGTTTGCAAGTGACACACTTCTTACTGTCCTAACTCTACTCTTGTGAGATATTATATAAATGTTGAACCTCTAGGACTGTGTGGAGGTATGATGTTGTGTGAATTCTGGAGTATAACAACACGAAGTGCCTATGAATGTCAATCTAAGGCATATTTGAGTGCAGAGATGCAACTGGAAACCACCGGGCCTTGGTGCGAAAATTACCCGAGGGCCCCCCAGCCCATTCATCTGTCTCATTCCATCCCCAGGCCCCCATATGTCTGATTCTCTCCGCACAGCCCCTCCATATGTCTCATTCCCCCCCCCCAGCTCCTCCATGTTTCTCATTGACTCCCTCCCAGCCCCTGCATGTGTCTCATTCCACCCATTAGCCCCTCCATGTGACTCATTGACTCTCCATGTGTCTCATTTCCCCACTAGCCCCTCCAGGTGTCTCAATCTCCCCTCTCTCCCTCCAGGTGTCTCATTCTCCCCTCTCTCCCTCCAGGTGTCTCAATCTCCTCTCTCTACCTCCAGGTGTCTCATTCTCCCCTCTCTCCCTCCAGGTGTCTCATTCATCCCCAGCTCCTCCATGTGTCTCATTCCTCCCTAAGGCCCCTATATGTCTCATTCTCTCCCCACAGCCTCTCCATATGTCCCCTCCCTTCCCCCCTCCAGCCCCTTCATGTCTCATTCCCACCCCCAGCCCCTGTATGTATTTCATTCCCTCCCCTAGCTCCTCCATGTGTCTCATTCCCACACCCAGGCCACCACGTCTCAATCTCTCCCCACAGCCCTTCCTTGTGTCTCATTCCCTCTCATTCACCCGCAGCCCCTCCATGTGTCTCATTCCTCCCCAAGCCACTCCATGTCTTTAATTTCCCCCCAAGCCACTCCATGTGTCGCATTTCCCCCCAAGGCCCTCCATGTGTTTCCTTTCCTCCCCAAGTTCCTCCATGTGTCTCTTTTCCTTCCACCCAAAGCCCCTTCATGTGTCTTATTTTCTCCCCTTTAGCCCCTCCATCCCAGCCCCTCCATGTGTCTCCCCCCTCCCCTCCTGTACCTGCTCTCACCGCCATTTCACCAGGACTGACAAGAAGTGCTCGGCACAGCTCTCCTCTCTTGCCGGTAACACGGCTACCTCAACCCTGAATGTGGCTGCGGCTGGGCCCACTAGAGTAACGACCCGGACGCACCTGCAAACCCTGCAACCGCGGTAGGTATGCCACTGTTGGAGTGTCGTATTTATGAAAATGCAGGTATGTATTTGTGCAGAGGATCTATGTGTGAATGCAGGGGTGTATTTGTGCAGAGTGTCTGTGTGTTTGAATGCAGGCATATATTTGTGCAGAGTGTGAGTGTGAATGCACAAGTGTACTTGTGCGGAGTATAGGTGTGTGAATGCAGGGGTGTATATGTGCATTGTGTCTGTGTGTGTGAATGCAGGGGTGTATTTGTGTGTTGTGTCTGTATGTGTGAATGCAGGGGTGTATTGTGGAATGTGTCTGTGGGTGTGAATGCAGCAGTGTATTTATGTAGAATGTCCAACATGTGTTTAAATGCCAGGGTGTATTTGTGCAGAGTGTTTATATGAGTGAATGTATGTAGGGTTAGTGTGTCTGTGTGCATAAAGCTTTACCTTAAACTGCTTAGTGATCACATGAATTTTGTATTCTGTATACTCACAATTTCTCTTACAATAGATTAATTTAACAGCACTATTTGTCTCCCACATTTGGAATTGGTGCAGGACCCACCGATATTGGGGCACTTTGAAGTAGTGGTCTGCTTAAAACAATATGGCCATATGGTGGAACTGAACCCTTATATTTGTTCTCTTAGACAGGCAATTTTAAGTACCCTGTTGAGATTACTAGTGTATTTTTATGTGTGCGCCGTAAGTTAATTTGTATCACAGTGCTGAGTGAAGTCCATAAACTTACTCCTTGCCCCAACTTACCTCCAATCCAATGCTACTTAAACATTCAATTGGATGACACGACGATGGTTACCCATTTCTGCTACAGAATTTTATCATCATTTTTCTACAAGGCTTGTTGGTTTATACTCAAAAAGTCTGGCTTACAAATTACCCTTACACAAAACATATCAAACTCTATATCTGAAAGTATAGGACCAGATTAGCTAATAGGCAGTTTCCTACAGGTAACTGTTTGATGATCTGCCACTGCCAATAATCATATATTTAAATAAATATTTTTAATTTTGCTTTACACATTGTTTTTTGCAGTGACTTTTACACCCTTAGGGATGTCATTTCGTGTTCTTTAGTGCTACATCCAAAGTATTAAACAAGCAACATAGAGCTACAGTATATTTATATATATATATATTTTTTATTTATTTATTTATTTTTTTTAATGGGAGGAGTGTCTTAAACCAGAGGTGTCCTAACCATTCCGTGCCTACTAAAATAAATAATGTTATGCGTAATTAATAAATATTGCCCATTCCACCAACCTCTGCCCCAGAGGAAGAATAAGGATTGCTACTACACAGCAAAGATTCCCCTAATATGACCCCATTAAAAGCTGCGTGGGTACCGGAGATGAACTCGGATTTAGGCCAAGGTGGCATCATCTACTGCAAATGGAGTTCAATGAATGCTTGTTGAAGATAGCTCCAGCAGTTAAAAATAATTATATTTATTTAAAAAGATCTCAAGTACAGGGATTCCCATGCCAGAGCACGTGTTTGTCCAGTAAGTGTGTCAATTGAGATCTGAGCTTTTCCTTAAGTGGAGGAGATTGGGTCAGTCCACTTAGAAAGAGTCATTATCTCTGATTTAAGAATGGTGAAATGTCTGCATTATAGAAATACATATTACTTTGTCCTGGGTCGAACAACAGACTTTTAATACATACTTTTATTTTAACACTTTAGGGTTTATTTACTAAACAAGAAATTATGTATAATTGACAAAGGAAATGCAACGTTTTAGCCAATATAGGTCAGACATTTTTCTAAAAGTGTTAGTTTGGCATAAAATGCATCATTCCTGTCTTTATTTTTTAAAATTCCAGGTAATTTTTCAAACCCAAAAGTACTATTTCCAATCAACACTGAACAAGTTGCTTTTTTTTTTTTTTGCAGTACTCTTATTGACTGAATCAGGCGAAAATCAATATAGTTAAACAAGTTGTGTATTGGTAGAAGAATAAATATCGGTAACAGTTAAAATGATCACAAACATTGCTGATAACGTGAGTGTGGAGGCTGAATATAAGAAATAGTAAAACATACAATATGGATGTGCCAGGATAAGGAGTTAAATTCAGTAATATCATGATGGTTATAGCATCATCTGTCATAAAGGGGTTATTAATAACGCCCAACAGTCTGGTACTGAATGCAAGGCTACGTCCAGGAAGGATGCAGAGAGAAAGACGACCGTTCTGAGTTATTTGTCAGTTGTCCTGGTTTTCAGAGTCACGGGAGGAAATGCATTTAGTAAACAACACATGTTCGATGTATCACAAACACAGTTGCTTGATAGATGCTGCTCTGATCACATGCAGTGCTACTGGATGATATTAAAATACATGTCACTTGCCCCCATGTGCTTAGATGACAGGTCCGTCATGACCCATTCATAGATTCTTTCTTCCCAGACTTGAGATGTAAATGGTGCTGGTTCTATTTAAAAAAAGTATTATTTCATTGCTGGTCTGCTCACAATAATGTTCTTTGGTGGAACACTGACCACATGGGAGAGGAAATCATTTTTTAAAAATCTATTTTGCACTCTAAAGGATATGGTTTTAGTCTACCGTGGGACTGACCTGTTCTTTTGGACATATTGATTTCTGCACCTTCCTGTTTGATGCATGTCTGCTTTTGACAGATAACTTCTGGTGACAGAATGTGGTTATATCGGCAGGAAGAAGCATTGAGACGTTCTGGACTTTTTTCAAACCCCCGGAAATCATATGTATTTGGAGCAGATGTGGTCTTCCTCTTAACCCTTTACCAGCCAGAGTGTCCCTTCACCCTTTTTACTCTTGCTTCCTCATTAATAAAGGATTACTTCCACTATCTGATCCCTGCAGTCTTGCGGGGTTATTTACTAAAGTGAGAATTTAAGGTGAATTCAAAAGGAATTTCACATTGAAGGCTAGTGTAGCTGAACTAAAAGCATAGCAATTTTTCCAGCCTGGCTATTTTGACCTTAAAATTGAAAATCAATTGACATTGACATCTCACTTTATTGAATAAGCCTGTAATGGTCAAAATCCACTATACATAACTTAGTATTTTCACCTTTAATACATAGCAAAAAACATTAATAAAATTAAAAGGGACACTGGTCACCAAAACATATTTAGCTTAATAAAGCAGTTTGGGTGTATAGATCATGCCTCTAAAGTCTCACTGCTCATTTCACTGTCATTTAGGAGTTAAATCACTTTTGTTTATGTTTATGCAGCCTTAGCCACATCTCCCCTGGCTGTGATTGACACAGTCTGCATGAAAGCAAAATGTCTCATTTTGAATCTGATGTAACTAACTTTAAAAGTTTTTATTTCCCGCTCTGTAATTGAACTATTTACATATAGGCAGGGCTGGACTGGCCCACCAAGATACCGGGAAATTTCCCAGTGGGCCGCGGCACCTGGGGCCCAGCTGACAGCCCTGATCATTAGACTCATGTCTTTGAAGTATTTTCCCCTATGCCAGCCTGTCTCAGTCCGAGGGGAGAAAAGAGGGAGGAGCTGGGGGCTGGTGTAGCCGCAATTAGGCCGCTGGTGGCTGGAAGGAGACCTGTCAGTCTCCCTGCACAATTTACAGCAATTTCGGTTGCATGCCCCGCCTCCGCACACAAGCCCCGTCTCCTGAAGATACCTCTGCCTCCCGCACACAAGCTCCACCCTCACGCACGTTGGTGACCTCGCTGGAAGGAAGAGGCCACAAAATAGTAACTTACCTACCACTGTCAGGTAAGCTTCAACCATGGCAGTGGTTGTGTGTGTGTGCCTACTAGTGAGTAAGCTTGTGTGTGTGTGTGTGTGTGTGTGTGTGCCTGCTAGTGAGTAAGCTTGTGTGTGTGTGTGTGTGCCTGCTAGTGAGTGAGCTTGTGTGTGTGCGTGTGTGTGTGGCTGCTAGTGAGTGAGATTGTATGTGTGTGTCAGTGAGCTTGTCTGTAGTGAGCATGTGTGTGTCACTGAACTTGTCTTTTGTGAGCATTTGTGTGTTAGTGAGCTTGTCTGTAGTGAGCATGTGTGTCAGTGAGCTTGTCTGTAGAAGCATGTGTGTATCTGTGAGCTTTTCTGTAGTGAGCATGTGTGTGTAAGCTTGTCTGTAGTGAGCATGTGTGTGTCAGTGAACATGTTTGTTTGTGTGTGTGTGTGTGACAGTGAGCTGGTCTGAATTAAGCTTGTGCGTGTCAGAGTTTATCTGTACTACGTTTGTGTGTATACCAAATAAGCTTGTCTGTGTATGACAATCAGATTTTCTGTCAGTTTCTGTCAGTAAGGCTATTTGTGAGCTTGTTTTTATGTAAATGATCTTATGTACATCAGTGAGATTGTTTGTCTATCAGGCTGTGTATCAATATTGTATAATAATTTTATCAATATTTTATAAAAATTTTTAATATATATTATATGTAAGGATATATATAAGGATATATTTATATATATATATATATACATATATATATATATATATATATATCCTTACATATTACATGTGACAATTCATGGCACAATGACTCATGGGGCTAGCATAGATTATTTTTCAAGGGCTGCTTTGTATCCCCAGTCCGCCCCTGCCTGTAGGGTATAGAAAGCTTTTAACAGAGAAGGATATGAGAATTTCTAATTTAAACATAATTGGCAATAAAGAAAGTGTGAACATTAGATGACTCTTTACAGGAAGTGTTTATGAAGGCTGTGCAAGTCATATGCAGGAAGGTGTGCTTAGGGCTGCATAAATAAAGTGATTTAACTCTTAAATGGCAAGAATTGAGCACTGAGACTGCAGAGGCATGATTAATACACCAAACTGCCTTAATAAGCTAAAGCTGTTTTGGTGACTATAGTGTCACCTTTAACCCCATCGAGATCGCGGACGTACCATGTACGTCCAACAAAAAACTGTCCTAATCAGTGTGGAATTAGAGCGCTGGAAGCAACTCTAATAGTAGTGCAGTGATGCCTCACTGCAGGGACCCCGAGTGATTGCTCCCCCGCAGCGATCACTTCCGGGTTGCCCCACGTGGCGCCTGGCAGTGTAGTGCAGAGCATCGGAAGCCATCAGGCAGGCTTTTGATGCTCTGCCTGTGCTGAGTTCCTCGAGGGGTAATTAAATAAAAGAAATTAAAATAAAAAAATTAAATAAAAAATTAACCCTTTCCCTCCCTCTGCCTCCCTCCCTCTCCCTCTCCCATGTACTTACCGATCACTGTCGTTCCCCTGCTGGCGATCGGTCTTCTTCTTCTATGGGGGGGACTGTCTAGGCTGTTCCCCCTCTGCAAAAAAGGACCCCGCCATAGGTGTCCATAGTGCTGCCAGCAGGGGGACTGCCTGAACTGAAAGGCAGTCCCCCAGCTGGTGAAAAAAAAATTAAGTAAAAAAAAAAAGTTCATAAATTAACAAAAAAATAAAATAAAAAATAAATATATATATGTATATATTGTATATATATGTATATATTGTTGAAGTGCACTCACAGGACTCAATAACATTTCTAATCGTGCTGTTTATTCAAGCATCAAGTAATACAAAGAAGTGTCGACGTTTCAGTCCTTGCTGGACTTTTTTCAAGACTGTATATATATATATATATATATATATATATCTTATATATAATGTCATACTAAGTGTATTTTTTATTAATATATACATATATTAATATAAAAATACACTTAGAGTAAAATTACACAAACATATATATAAAATAACTAGCAGGCAGGCACACCTTGGTACCCTGGCACAATGGGCTATACGCTGATGCCCTTTTGGTACACAGGGAAGTGCAGGAAAACCCGATGTAAAACCCAGGACATACTTGAAAACCCAGGACATACTTGAAAACGAGAGAAATCTCAATGTATCTTTCCTGGTAAAATATTTTATAAATAAAATAAATAAATATATATATTATAAAAAATAAATAATCAATTAAAAAGAAATTTAAAAAATGTAAAAAATAATTTGTCATTTTTTTAACAGGGGCCGGAGCCTAGCTGCTGAACTGCATGGACGTGACTCTCCATTGCTCCTGCAAAAAGATGTAAAATCCGCTACCATCCGCGCCTCCAGTGGGTCCCAGGCAGGCACACCTTAGTACCCTGGCACAATGGGCTATACGCTGATGCCCTTTTGGTACACACAGAAGTGCAGGAAAACCCGATGTAAAACCTGGGCCTACCACAAGCTCTCACCAGCTGATATCCTGATCGGAATAAAAAAGAGATGACCTGAGCAGATACCACGTGGAGCCATATGGCTCACGTAGTATCGCTGAAGTTCTCAGCCTATCAGTTTCTATCTCACCATATGATATATAACGTTCAGTGGCGTCTCTAGGATTCAATTTTAGGGGGGGCACATAAAGGGCCATGGACAAACGTAGGGGGGCACATTTAACCCCGCCCTCGCCGCAGTTTGACCCCGCCCCTGTCGCATGTTAAGCCCCGCCCTCGACACAATGTGTTTTGTTTTTTTAATAATCCCTGGTGGAGGATTCATTATTTTCCACCAGGGATTATTAAAAAAACAAACACATTATCCTTGATACAGTGCCATAGTTGCCAACATTTGAAAAAAAATTTCCAAGGACATTTTGCAGCACAGCTATCAATTACTGTCTGGGTATAATATCCCTGGACAGTCAGTGCTCTCTGTATAATGCAGGGTTGTGTGTATAATAAATTGGGACACTCAGTGCTCCCAGTATAGTGCTGCTCTCTGTATAATACAGGTCTGTTTGTGTATAATATCCCAAGACAGAGAGCAGCACTATACAGGGAGCACTGACTGTCCTGGGATATTATACAGGAAGCACTGACTATCCCGGGATATTATATACACACAGATCTGTATTATACAGATAGCTGAGCATATACCCCATGTCCCAATCTCTAGACTACTAGTACCTGTCAACAGCAGCTCCCAGACGCGTGTAACAGGGCTAAAGTGTGCGGCAACTCACACAGATGATTCAGCGGTAAAGTGCACTCGCTGGCAGAGCCAAACTGGGAATCCCTGGGAATCCAAAGCAGCCCTGGAAAAAAAAATGTATGCCATTCCTACAAGTCAAAATATATATATAGTACAGTAAGCACACAAGCTCACTGACATGCGCAAATAGGCTTACTGACAGACACACAAGCTTACTACAGACCATCTCACTTGTATAAACAGAAGGCTCACTACAAAGAAGTTCAGGGACACACACACAAGCTCACTAAAGACAAGCTCACTGACACACACATGCTCACTAAATAGAAGCTCACTGACACACACAAGCAGTACCATTTTAACAGAGTTAAGGGCCCCTGGGCAAAGCAATGCACTGGGGCCCTTCCTACACAACAACTCACAGGAATTTTAATTATTGATAGACTGCTGAGTCCATTCACACACACAGACTGCTGAGTCCATTCACACACACACAGACTGC